CTTCCAAAACTCTGGAAGCTTAGCAGCTAAGCTTAGCAGAATTCAACTTATACTATCTGGAATTCTGTAAGTTCTTCAAACATGAAACTTTTGGGGTTTTCTTTCTTCCATATGATGAGTTAACAAATGCTCTGTAGTTCGAGCACTGAACTGTGACTTGATAGTGGTATTTCAACTGGATCTTTGCTCTTTCATAGTCCAATAATGCAATATTGCCTGTGCATTCATTAGCGCTGTGTATGTATGTGGAGGTGGGAGTAGGGGATTGGTATTTATTTGTCTTGCAGAAGCATTCCAGATTGAGATAATGTAACGCAAGCTCTCTTGAAATCTAGCAGACACTTCAAATCAATTTTATCATGAGAGAAGAAAATGAGCAGAACTAAAGTAGCACCAAGTAAGTCCAATCAGCAGATCAACAGAGGCATCTAACAAGGTCACCACAGTACAACAAATGAAATTAACAGGCAACTGCTTCCTACAGCCTCTGTAGAATAGTCTCAGTATGGAGCGGACTGGGTGCTCTTTCCACATGCAAGAGGAGGGTAAAAACCCAATTAACTTAATAGCTGCATGAACTACAGACGATAGGTCAAGATTCTCTACCTGGGGAAGTTCTTCAGAAAAGATCTCTGAATTTATAGAGCCAGTAGAGAAGTGGCTCAATAATAAATGGAGTGACTCTCCCTGGAGTCTCTTGGCAGCTATACAGCCTTATCAATAAAAAGATGTTACATGTAGGAACATCCGTTCTAGTCTATTAGGTGAGTGTGCTCTCTTAAAATGAATCATAAATGTGCTTATGTGCTAGTGTAAGCCAGCTAGTGCCCTTAGACCAGCAGTGCCTACCTACCTAGTGGTGTAACTGGAAATTGCATTTCTCACTCTGTATCCTCTAACAAGGTATGCCTTAAGTTCAGAAGCAACTGGCCATACCAACCTGTCAGTATAAAGACAGCCTTGCAAGGCAGAGTTCTAAAACTAATTTACAAGCTTGGTGGCTCAAATTGTACTGATAATTGCTGAGCACTCAAGATACACTGTAAAATAATGAGACTTTGCAGATGCTTCATATTGTAAGCAGCATGAACTCCTTAACCTCTCCTGAACTAATGGTAATGCTTTACTGATGGTAAAGCAAAGTTTGGGTATCTGCCACAGAATTTCACTGCACTGTCTGAAACTAAGTGTCACCCTTAAGGTGAACATGATACTGTGTCAAAACACTGCTGTAACCCACAGCCATGACTAATTGAGTCTAAAACTTGATGGGATAAAGGAAGCTTTAGCAACTGCGTCTAGTCAGATGTCCCTAACGGTCACAAATCCAGAACAGTGTTGTCATAACTCTTGCATAAACTTCTGTTTCAACTGTTTAGGATTCAGCTACTGTCCTGCTCAAGCTACTCTAACAGCTTCCCATTTCTTAATTGCCTGCTCAAAGTAGACTGTTAACTTGCCAAAAAGCAGAGTCTGGTTGAAAAAAAAGCTATGTGAAAAGTTTGTACTACATAGCCATGACCTACTGGGCTTGGTAGCAATGCCAAGTAAAACCCTCTTGGAGAAGAAAAAAACCCAAACTTCTTTGATCCCCCAAATGTGCCCATTACAAACTAGAAACCTTGAGGGAGACAGGTGTACTTGGGCATTCCAACACATGCAGTCAACTCTTACTGATAGCCTAAGAAATACTGCCAGGTTCCCTGTTATTCCACTTCTCTTTATGGAATCTGTCACATGATCTGGTGCTGGAATAACAATAGAACTAAATCTTGGCAATTGACTCCTTCGCCAGGACAGTTCTGGAAAAAGTCTTTGATGAAGTCATATTGGTAAACGTCTTGGACAGTGGGGATTCAGCACACTTGGCGTTAATGAAAAGACCTGAGCTGGGTGTCACACTAACAAAGCTTCACTGCTGGGAACTGACGCAGTTTTCAAAATGTGTTTTTATGGATGCAGACACAATGGTAAGTGGCCATGTCTCATGGTACCTCTTAATGACCCCGTATGGGGGTTGTTGGATTTTTTTTTCTGTGGGCTATTTTTGGTTGTTTGCTTGCTTTTTGGGGGAGGAGGGGTTGGTGGTTTGGTTTTGGTTTGTTTTCTTTTTTTTTTTTTTTTTTAAGAGGAGGGGTAATAGAGGCCTTTTTGCTATTTGGGCTAGTAACTCTAAAAATGTGTATGCCTCTTTATCTAAATTAATCGTAACGTAGTCTGGGACTGTCTCCATGAAGACATGTCTTCCATAAGACAAGAGTATTGATACAAGAACTTTCTTTCATGTCTTAAGGTAGATGTCAAAATCTATTAAAACATGATACCCAATTCCTAACCTAAAAACCAGAAAACAATTTTTTACCCCCTTTACAACTAGGTTTTGTCAAATATTGATGAGCTCTTTGAGAGAGAAGAGCTGTCTGCAGCACCAGATCCAGGCTGGCCTGACTGTTTTAATTCTGGAGTTTTTGTTTACCGACCTTCCATTGAAACGTATAATCAGCTGTTACAGTTTGCCACAGAGAAAGGCAGCTTTGATGGTATGTATTGATTTGTATTTCAATATAAGTTAGACCAAAATGGTAATAGTGATTGAGTTGGCTCAGTAACTACATATGTGTCATGGGGACTCTGTATGATAGAATTCTGAACTCAATGTAACTACACAAAATTTGTATCTTTCTCACAATAGAGGCTTTCATTACAATATGTAGTAAAACTACTTTTTTCAGACTTCATGAAATAAAAAAACCTGAAGAGTTTGGTGTCCAAACTAGCAGCTGTCAGCATTAGCAATGTAGACTCATGTAACAAGGAATCTTCAGATGTAGCAAGCACAGTGCACCATTAGCAAATGAAACTGCAGTGCTATGCTTCATGCATTCCTAATACTGAAGGCTTGAATGTTCTATGCTAAGTCAAGCTGCTGTGTAAAAAGAAAAAAAAAAAGAAAAATAAAAAGTAGTTCTGATCAACTTGAGTGCAGCTTCAGAGTAACAAACATTTGAAGATGTAACTCTCTTCATATGCTATATGGTAGCTTCCTGCCATTAAGGGTAGTGACCCGTCTTTTTTCCCAATATCAAGTGCATGTAGCCTCTGCTGCTTCCCACTATAGGTCACTTAGGATTTGGCCATTGTGCCAGATTTAAGCTTGAGAAGCCAAGTTCTGCTGTCCTATAAGTCCCCTTACCAATCTATTACCATTGCAGTAAATGCACACATTGCTATAGTTAAAGGCTTCTAAATAACTATCACTGCCTCCTGTCACTGAACTTCATTGTTAACTACTGTGGTACAAAATAAAGTCTAGCTGAAAAAGCTGCAGAAAGTTACATAAATAAGACCATAAAATGGAACTCTTAATATAAGGTAATTAACCAGCCTGTTGACTTACCTTTCAGTACTTTGTAAAAAGTAAAAATTCTAGATGTCACTCCTAGTCTGCAGAATAATCCCTGTTACTGTGTGGCCTCCTAAAGAACATTAGTCACAGTTGGATGCTTAATGCTACCATATGAAGAAACTCTAGCAAAAATGAGTACTGCAATGTAATGAAAGGTCTGTCTGCACCTTGCAACTGACAAGGTAGCAGTTGGTAGCTCTAGGAGTGCTCTCAAATGGTGGGTGTAAATTGGATTACCAGTTATGGCAAAAGCTGTAACACTGTATTGAGTTGTTGCCTTAAAAAAAAAAAAAAACCAACCAAAAAACAAACCCACCCACATCTTTTTCTACACTGACTGTTGAGTAGGTCCAAAACCATCTGAGACTTGGTGATTGTCTCCTCTCAGCTTTGTGCTTGACTCTAACAAGACCCCATCTTATAGGTCTAAGGCCTCTGTCCTTTAGAAGGATAGAACTGCTTCCACGATATACATTCTGACTTGAAAGCTAAAGCCACACAGTGGTGAAACTTCCTCAATGTCCTAAACACGAAGCAATTGTTGCAGCTCTTAACAGCAAAAATGGTAGGCTAATGGTTTAGGTACCAAATTCCTAGAACTGTAATTTGTACTTCAGCTTTATAATTTATTCAGGTTTTTATTAAATGATAGCACTGATATGAGTAATGAGAACAGAGACTTATACTACCTGCATAAGCTGCTGCTGAGCTCATGAACTTGGTGTGGAGAAAGGGGATTTAAACTTAAATTGATCTAGACAGTAATAAAAGTTCCTAAGAAACTTTTTATAAGAGAAACGCCTGTGGAGGGTCACTGCCTTTAATAGGGCACATGGATGCACACTCAACAAGCTACCAAGCTATGCATAATCGAAGTCAAGCACTAAGCACCCTATAACAGTAGCAGTAGCTAGGGAATGCAAGGTTTTCTAGAGTATTTCATGTTTGTAACAGCAGACAGATGCCTCCTATGTAATGCTGTTGTCTGGAAATGGTAGTGATGGCTACTTATGTAGGCAACTATTTTGTCTATTTGAACTGAACTTCTAGATAATGAGGAATATGTCATGAAATAATTCTAGATAACATCTAAAAGTAGTGAAGGGGGAAAAAGGTTTGGTTTTAAAAGAAATTTGGTAGTACTGATACCTTAAGAACACTGCTATTGCTTTGACAGGCTTTAGCCTGGGATCTAAAATGGTTGCTTTTACATCTAAAGATATAATGCAGCAAGACTGTATTTGTAGATATGTAGCTAATGTTACTACTACCTGATTCTTTCACCTTATGCCTAAGGTCCAGTTTATACAACAAGACTACTGTTGGAAGTCTGAACTAGGACAGCTAAATGCAGCTTTCAGTGGCTGCTTTGGCACAAATGCATGCAATTTGGAGAAAAAAAAGAGTATGTAAAACAATCTGAGTGAGAGAAAGTCCTGTAAAATAAGTTAAAAACATTGTTGCTGTCCCTTCAGTTATGAGCTACCTGTTCTGAGAAGGCATCCCAGACTTTCTTCTCTTTTTAGACTATCTTAACTATTAACATACGCATTCTTAACACAGTTTTAAGTTAGAAGTTAATCATAGAATGTTTTGGGTTGGAAGGGACCCCACGGAGGTCATCTAGTCCAACCCCCCTGCAGTGAGCAGGGACACCGCTAACTAGATAAGGTTGCTCAGAGCCCTGTCCAATTTGGTCTTGAAAGTTTCCAGGGATGGGGCCTCCATTACCTCTCTGGACAACCTGTTCCAGTGTTTCAAATGAAACATAGCTGAGTAAAGACCACAGAACTTGTCTGATTTCTTAAAACTCTGTTCTCTTGTGATAGGCACAACTTCTTCAAAAGTGTTTTCCTTTATGGGTTGAGAGGCAAGTCAGAGGTTTGAAATTACTGGACTGAGTTTCTAGGCAATTTCTCACTCTGCAATCTGCATGTATGCTGACAGCTGTAACAGGATACTTTAGAATTTATATTTGTCAGTGTACTATCTCTACATCTAAGTTCATGCCCAGTGTCTAGATACTTCAGCTGCAAAAAGCAAATTCTGCTCAAAGAGCAGAGAGGGTGTAAACCTTCGTACTGCCCTAAATCTAATCATAGACCAATAAAAAAAAACTTTCCTGGGTCAGCAGAAACAAGTGCTTTAGAAAATTAAAGATTACAGTGAAACATTGCCTCTTTTCTAATGAAGCTATCCATTTGCCTACTCTTTAGAAATGCTACTTGTGAATGCAGTTATAGGTGAAGCGAAGACAGCAAATGGAAGTTGAGGGACTCCCTTCAATCTCTTTCATAAGAGGAACTATTAGCACTTAAAGACTAAATGTATTCACTGCAATAAAGAATGAATGGATATAAATAAGTACTTTTTACTTCTCAGTAGCTGCTTATAAACTAGTCTGCTTTGGGCCAGAGGCTATTTTTTTTTTAGCTACTCTACTACTGACATACCAAACAACTTCAAACTCATTTGACCTCGTTACAACCTCTGCTTGCAATCTAAGAGGTGACCCCTCCCAACACAGTAGGTCTGGCCATAACTTAGATTGTTATCCTCACTTAGGGGTTAGTCAGCAGCTTTTTAGTACAGAACTAGGAACACCTATTGCCTGTTAAAGGATTTGATGAAGTTTTACTTGAGTTGTCAACAAGACTGAACGTTCTTTCCTTACCATATTTGCAGTGTTGGTAGATGCATCCAGGGCTCCAGGTCTAACAGATCACCGATACCCTAACTCTGGTGTTGAGGTGTTGGTCATGCATCTGTAAGCATAAATAATAAAACTAATTGTTGGCACTCAATCTTCTGAGCTACAGCTTTCCTGAAGCTGAACAATTCTCAAAGTCCTGTTTTTTGCTGCCTTATACAGCTTGAACTTAAGCTGTAAAAGAACCTGAATGGCAGGGTTTGTGAGCAGCTTGCTATCTTTTAGCAGAAGTAACCCCACACATAGTACCTTTTTCATTCTCTATGTTTTTTTGATTTTTCAAAGGCTGCAAGGTTTACAGGGTTATTCACAAAAAGAATTCTAGTGCTTTATGCCAAACTCCTACTGGACATGAAAACTGCATTACCAGCTCTTCATTAGTGAAGTGATTGAAAAAGATCCTAAAACAGCTATCTGATGCTTGTAGCCTATTAATGCTTTCTCTTTCAGGTGCGGATCAGGGGTTATTAAACACCTTCTTCAGCAGCTGGGCAACAACAGACATGAGCAAACACCTACCATTTATTTATAATTTGAGCAGCACTTCTGTATATTCCTACCTTCCAGCATTTAAAGCGTAAGTTCAAAAGTCTAAGACTACTTTCAGAGCTTATATAAACTAATTTCTTGTAATAGAATGAACAGACACAACTTACACAGTTTTTCTACAGGGAGACCATTATTGTCACTAAAAGAAAGTATAATAGTTTCCACTCTTAAAAAAAAAATTGAATTAGTACTACTTAAGTGAACCATCTTATCACAAATGCAGAGAGAAAGCTGTATCTGTAGCTTAAAGCACTCATCCCTGGAGGTAACACTGAAGTTGAGTTAGAGTAAGCACATTTGACAGGTCACTTGCGACAGGAAGAACCCCTACTCCCGTATGTGATACTGTCTGTTACAGCTCTAACCAAAGGCAGTAGCTCTTGAACTGGTTTGAGCTGAACTTCAGCATGTCAGTGGTGGTATTGTTCCCACCTAGATAACTTGTCCTTTCCTCACTCAAATTACTTAGGGTATTTAACAACCAGTAGTTACAGTTCACCTAATCAACCTATACTATTCAAATAAACCTGGTGAACAAAGACTTGTATAAAGTGAGAATTCTCTCCCAACAGGCGTTCCTAGATCTCAGACAGTTCCTTAAGTAATAGCAAGATGGAACAAAGACTACAGCCAACCACCATACCATTGCATGTTTCCTGTGTACGGAAAACAACTGTATCCTCCCTAGCTAGCAGTATTAGATTTGGCATGTGAGTAAACCATGTCAGTGGCAGGGTCACTCAAAGTGTTATAATAAACACAAGAGGAAGGGGGGGGGGGAAGGACGGGAAGCTGAAATGTTACACAGAAACTCTTACTCATTAAGAGCTGCAAAAGCTGGGGGTGGGTGGAGGGAAAGTACCAAGAGCATAAACCCAATCTGATCTCTGAATGACATCAGGTTACTAGTGTCTAAAGCAGCAGCTAGCATAAGCAGGACTGTTGCTGGCTCAGAATCAAACTATGTCTTGTGATCAGAATACCATTTGAAATCCTGTCATGCTAAAAGTGGAACACTTATTTAAAGAAGTATATGCAAGCCTAAGAATGACTAAGTAGTTGGATAGCATTTGATAAGCTAACAGCTATTGTAAAGTATGTCCTCTTTCCATGGCTGGCTGGTTGTCAGTCACATGACCTTAAATTTACAAATGACCTTGTTACCACAAAAGACTAATTGGATTTGGGGACTCCTGACAAAAATCACATTTAACTGATTGAATCAACTGCCTAACTGAATTCAGCAGATATTCAAAAGTAGAATGCTGGAAGTGCAACCCCTTTAAGTAGAATGCCCTGCTCAATAGGTGGAACAATCTCCCTTGGTTAGATCAGCAGCTGTGCTCCTGATAATCAGCAGTTGGAATAAAGTGAAATTTAAACCTACTGACATCAATAGCTAAGTTTTTCACAGCTTTGTACAGCGAGACTAGATTTCACAGCAGTCTCAGTAATCCTTTTTCCAAAGGAAAATGCCAATTCATGACAAATGCTCTCTAACTTCAAAACATTGATGAAGGACTTTTCTGGGAGATGGGGAAAGACAGATTAGTTGCTGAGGCCAGTGTGGACATAAAGCTTCCTAACAGTTGAGCTTGAATGTCAAAAGAAAGTATTGCGGATCTAGAAGGTATCTAGAAAGCAGATACTGAAAACATCATAGAAGCTTGGCATCTGTCAACTGTTGTACAGGTCTTCAGTGGACAGAATACTAAGAATACACTTCTCCATTTCCAGCAAGTGTAACATAACACTCCTTAGGCATTCTCTAGCTTAAATGTCATTGTTTAAAAATCAAGGCTAAGTTTTCTCAGAACAGCAGCAGCTTAAGATGAAGAAAAGTCAGGCTGTTAAGTAGTGCTGTGACAGCTAATAAAACTAAGGTAGTCCTCTTATGTCAAATCTTGATGTATGGAGTTTAAAGCCCAGGAACTGGCCTCTTGGAGACAGATATTTTTTCTTACAATTAGTGCAAATACTTGACCTTGTTTCACACATGCATAGGCTTTCATTCTGCAGTAAGATCAGTTGTATTCAAAACACTGAACATGAATATTGAAATACAGTCAAGGATCTTACAATAGTACAAAACCCCCCACCCAAATGCATACTACCTTGTTTTGATATTCTAAAGTTTTTGAAACAACTGCATCATCTCCATATGTCAAACTCCTTATACGAGTCCTGGTCAATAAGGGTGTGCTTAACAATGTTAGACAAGCTAGCTTGGCATTATCATCGATTTAAATCATAGTATGTTGAGAAGAAATCCTAACATGATGCAAACTGAAATAGATGAGACAGTCACTGTTACTAGAGAGACTGGTATTGCTTGATCACAAAACTGACTCAAGCTGAACTCTAGTTCTGGAACCACAGAAGAACGGAATGAGTGTTCTCTCTTAGTTTTAAGTTCTCTACTTCAGAAGAGGTACAGCTCATCTATACTCTTAATGCAAAAGAACATACTGGTAACATTTGGGACAAAGCTTGAAGTCCAGACTGAAAATGGAATTAAAATAGTTTTATAAAGAAACAAAAAAGCCCACCGCAACCTATGCAAAACCCACCCATGGCTAAACTAAGGATATTTAGAAAATAAGTTGGTTGTCTAGCAAGACCCTGCTGTGCCAAGATCAGATGTCCTCTGAAATGCCTAGGTTATATAAAGCTGCTATTTTGCAGGGACAGTGTCTTCCTGCTGCAGGGCTTTCCAATGATCCTCTTCTATAGGGCTGTAAACTGAAAGGGTAACTCTTAACACTGACCCTTCTCTGCATAATGCTTGCAATGCCTAACTATCTGGAACACTGACTTTGGAGTAGAATCTTTTTCGCTTTCAAAACCAGTTCGATTTCAACGGCTGCTTGAGACTGCTCTCTCCTGAGCTATGGACATCACTCTACCTAAAGACTTGAATTGGCTGTAAGTACTTAAATAGCCCAGACCATTAGGTTTTGGCTGTATTCTGACTAGTGTAATGTAGAATTCCATTTGCATTTTTTCTGTTGTATAGCGATGCTTTCAGTCCCAGTAGGCATTGGCAGTTTGATCATTTAGTGTTTAGCCTCCTAAATATATTCATATTTCTGTTTTCTGGACACCTACAGAAACTGCAGGTTAAAAAAAATTATGTCTGCCACTCAAAACTCTTGTTTTCTAGAGACCTGCACAAACTGTGGGTTCTAACTTTTTCTGTCCAACAGGTTTGGTGCAAATACTAAAGTGGTGCATTTCCTGGGAAGCACAAAGCCATGGAACTATACATATGACTCCAGAACAAAAAGCATAAAAGGCAACATGGACGACCCTAAAATAGTTCACCCAGAATTCCTCAACATGTGGTGGGATACCTATATAGCTAATGTTTTACCATTACTAGAACAGCATGGAATTGTTAAAGAAACTACTACAGGTGTAAACATGGTACGTTCATTAACATTCTTGTAAAAACTACTTGAGTATAGATGACAGCTTCTTTACCATTTCATGGATTTCCCTTCCCTCTTGTCCAACTCAAAGCATGGGTGTGGTTTAGTTTGTGGGATGCAGGGTTTTTTGGATTTGTTCTTTTAAGCTTGGAATAAATAATACCACAGAAGAGAAGCATGCTATAGTGGTCTTGAATGTAGCTGTCTGCTTGCCTAAAACTATGTGAGTAGCTAATGGTGCACTGGAAATTATACTGTAGTAACTTTAATATAAACAGAGAAGGGCCCTAACTCTTAATATGTTGCAGCTAATGAGGTTCTCAAGCAGAAGAACCCCAGTTCAGCATGCAATATGTACATACAGATCTTGCATGGTGAAACAAATCTAGGTAAGCCTAGGATAACTAGAGAATGACTACTTATGTAGCCTGGCAGTGATGAACCCCAATACTTATCAAAGCCAAAGTAATGGTTCTCACTAACTCTAGTTCTCACTTGGAGTTCTCACTTTAGTAGCTTGCCTCTGACTGCAGACTCTCTAGTCTTAGCTTAGTACCTGGGCGAGTTTAAGTTCTCAACCTTTCTAAGACCAAAGTTACTGATCTCTTAAGATGTGCTTTCTCTTGTTAATCTTCAATCTTTCTAACAAACTATTTGCAGCTATCGGGCTTGGTCTATACTCTGGCTTTCTCTTGTGGCTTCTGTAGAGAGGTATGAAGAACTTAAACTTTTTTCTCTTTTTTTTTTTTTCCCCCCTCTCTGCTAACTTCTGTAACTCTGCTTTGTTATTTTGCTAGGAAAGCTGCACAATCCCTGCCCATTGGCAATGCTTGCCTGCTGCGCATGAGAACATCTACTTCATTGTCCCATTCTATGGCCTGTTGCTCACTTTAGCAATGCAAAGTATTTCTACATTTTTACTCTGCCTTTCCTTTTAGGCAGAGGTTACAGAGGCAGTCTCCCACATATCAATATCAGCACCATCACCAGTATTACCAACTGTATCTTCAGAAGAACGCAAGGAACGGTGGGAACAGGGCCAAGCTGACTATATGGGAGTGGATTCCTTTGACAACATCAAGAAGAAACTTGATACCTACCTTCAGTAGAAATGCCCGTCTCAAACAGTGGTGATGCAAGGACTTGTTCCAGAACTAACAGCTAGAAAGGTGTAGATGGTGGTCAGTTACACTTGCTAGTAGCTTGATGAAAAACTTCTTGGCTGAAGGCCTCTGCAGTGCTACAGATGAAGACTGAGCAAAAGCTAGGAAGCAGAACTCCTTGGGCCACCTATTACTGCCCAATTTCCAATTCTCCCTACTAGATAAAACCAGGTATTTTCAGCTTAAATTTTCTTCTGTTGTGATCAATTGGCTCATCATATTCCTTGAAACTGGGTTTGTTACCTCACCTCATTAAGGTGATTAGCATTGATTCCTTTGCTTGCTGTTTTAGATGTAAAATCTAGTTCATGGGATTGCTCATACACTAGAGTGGTAGCCATTCTGCTTTACTATAAATGTATTAATGACACTGGGATACATACAGATGTAACAGTAATAGCACTGCTTTGCTCTTCCAGTCACAATTGCACTGAAGTTTTGACCAGGTTCTTACGCACAGTGCCTACAGCATGGCAGAATGCATTTTTCAGTTCTGTATACTACGGGACTAGTCAACTGAGTTTTATCTGTTACTTGCAATGTTGCACTTGATACAAAAATAAAAAGTTGTCATGCATTTCTGGCTTCCCTAAACTCTTGAGCAATTAAAAAAAAAAAAAGAGGGAGCTCTGAAGCAGTCTATACCTGTTGAATATTTTGGTTAATTACCTTAAGCTTTGCTAATGCTACTCTAGCTACCATTAGCAAATGTCCAGGTTTTAGTTCTGTAGTTATTTACAGAGTATATAGTCATTTGCTGGGGAGCTATGTAGGACCACTCCCCTTAAGTATAGGACAGTGGAGGAAGTACCCTCTGAAGCTACTCACACAAGCAACCTGGAGTGTGGGAAGAGGGAATCTGTCTTCTGATGACTAAAGCAGCATCATCCCTAACATAAGCCCTGTACACTGTGAACTTGTGTTTAAACACAACTGTGATGCTATTTTGGCCAAGAACAAAAGCATACTGAAGACTGACAGATTGGCAGTTATCTGTACTGGTTTACATCCATCCTTTAGCCAGAAGTCTGAATGGAATACAAAGTAATTTGGTTCTGTCTTTGATGGCTATACTCTGTACTAGTCCAGAAACACTAAGAAAGTATCATTTCATTATTTCCTAATAAAGGAGGATTTTGATAGGAAGCTAGTGAGGGTGCTAAACTTTAAGCCTAGAGATAAAACAATCAAAAAGCAGAAGATTTAATCTGGCTATAAGAGTTAGTTTGTTTTAACTTGGTTTTGCTACTTAAGTGCTCCAAGATTCCTCGGTCATCATTTAGAAAAAATGCTAGAGATTAGGTCCAAGCTGAAGTAGCTTGTAGCTATTTCAAAGTACATAGCATTTGAACTCCCAGCTGTAACTAGCCCTTTCCTGTGTGGGTTTTTCTTTTGCTGTGTTGAAGTTTTTTTTAACAGATAAATTTGAATTTGTGTGAAAGCAGGAGGGATTACTATTTACAATCTGTAGTGACAACAACAAGTACAAATATTGGAGTTCTACATGCTTGCAGAATACTCCATAGAAAATGATAAAATATTCTTTTAAAGATAACTGAACAGTTTTAGTTTTGCTCCCCTGGTCTGTATTTGTACTAGAGAATAGGCACATTACTTCTTTTTAAGCTTAGTTGGAGAGGAATTAAAGTGTAAAAGCATGACACTATACCAACCTGAAAATCTGGTTTAGCGTTTAAGTTTTGTTATGTTAAGACAAGAAGAGAAGGAGATACGCTGAGTAACATGAAAACATGCATGTTTTGGGTTAACAAATACAGTCAGTAAAGAAAGAAAACCTATAAAACAATTCTGTCCTAGCCTCCAACTCATACCGTGATCAAGTGTTTACCCACAGCCTCAGGAAAGTGAAAAGGTATGACATCTATAATAAACTCTATGCAGCTTATTTTCAATAAAATGACCTTTATGTCATTATCTGCCACTATTTCCTTCATAATTACTGCAGGCAGCATTTGCAGAAAAATCCCTTTTTATCCCTTGTAATAGTACTACTTGATACGTCAAGTGCTTTTCTGCTCTAAACTGTAGGTACTCAAAGCAGTAACTGAATTAAAGCAGTGTACTCAAAACATCGTTATTCAAAAGAATCACAGCCCTGCTTAGATTGTGACTCAAGTATTGGAACTCCATTTGCCTTTGAAAAGTATATAATCTAAGTTGTTCCTCAGATGGTGACAACTCAGAGCAACTCTTAAAAGTTTAGAGGCTTATCTTCATTTATATCTTTAGTTCATGTAGCAGGTAAAAAAACCTTTCGAATGAGGGACTACTAACTCAGTCTTTGGAATGAAAAACGTTAAGTTCCTAATTACAAAATCTCACTTATAAGCATGCTACAGAACATACCATTAGAACCCCAAGGAAGAGAATACTAATAGCCAAAGACTACTTACAGTTCATGAAAAGCAGAAAGAATCCCCAAACAACTGAACGCTGTGGGTTTTAACCACCCAAGTAACTAAACAGCTCCATCAAATCAGACAGGACCTCTCAGCTTTGACCTTTAACTGTTCTCTTGGATACATTAATGGCTTTCTTGGGGGAGACCTTAACTAGCCCTACAGCTTAGTACTAACTCCAGTAAGTTTTTTATTTGGCTTTGGAACATGGAAACCATGATCTAGCAGAGGAAAAATGATACTAGTAATTGTTTTCATAATCACAACTCAACCACTCTGCAAAACGCCAGCGTATTTTAACACAAGTAATGAAGTAGCCTGACTAGCCATTGAAATGGGTCTCTTCCTCATGTAATTTTAACTTGGAAAATGGGAAGAATGACACAAAGCCAAATCTCTTGTTCGCAGTTGGGAATTATTTCCCCATCTTATCTCTAAACATCAGAATCTGAACCACAAAAACCCAAAGAAAGTCTAACTTACATAAACTCTATTAAAAAAAAAAAAATTCAATAAGGTGTAGTTGTGTTTTCTTTTATCAACTTACCAGTGACAGCCAGTTACTGCAGTTCTGTCATTCATGTGTTTTTAATTCTTTCTCTAACAGACTTAAACCACACTTTTCTCCATAGCTAAGATGCTGGCTCCCCAAAAACTGCATTAGCTTATTAAGGTTACATATTTGGAATTCCTTTCTTACTCCTTCCATTGGCTCACTGTTTCTCCAAATTATCAGACATCTTCCCTTTATTTCTCAGTCCTTTTCCATTTCCTATGTTTGCAATTCATCTCATAATCAGCTGGCTGGTATTCTAAGACATAAGAAAAGGTGAAAGGCATTAGAAGCAAATCAGATTTCATTTCTCTGCTGCCAAATACACTTCCTGAATCTAAACATAGAATCTAAACAGGACCTAAACATAGCAATCTCTGCCTCCAAGTCTGAGCTTTACAGGGAAGGCAGCATAGTGTTAAGAAAGCACATAACAGAAGGCCAGGATTAAATAGAAAGAGATAAAAGGAACAGACAAGAATATTCAACTAAAGTTGAACTGAGACTCTTCAGTGCTATTTATTACTTTGCGGTACATGAACATGAGTAGTTTACCAAATTCTTCCTCATAAATCAAGACACACACAGATCAGCATTCCATTAAGACATATGTATGGGATTGGAAAAGCACTTAGCAGTGCAAGAAAACTGAAAGCTGGCAGCTATTAAAATAATTTGTTCTGCTTAATTTATTTTGCAAGGGCTAACTGATTCACTGACAAGTGAGTAGGTCATATTCTACTTTTCATATAGCACAGTACTATTGTTCAAAGTGTGTACAGAAATTATTAGAAAGCGTGTTATCAATACAAGCCTATGATTCTAGCATTTTATTCAAATCACAAAACCTTTACTTTTACAAAAATCAGTGGATTTCTGTTTAAGGGAAGTAAAATATTAAAAGAAAGTGTTTTGCAAATTTAAGTACTCCATTTTTACTAGCTCCTGGGAAGTAATCAACTGAGGAACTCTGCATTATTCAGAAATACTAAAAAAAAAAATTTAAAATTTTGAAATAAATACAATCTTTGAACACAGACTGCAAAAGTAAGAATTCCTTAAGAAGTGATCACTGACCACCTATTCTGAAACAAACAAAAAAAACCCTGTTTGGTTATGAGGAAACACTGAGATTGAAATATGAAGCGAATTCATTTTTTAAGGGTTTTGTCTGAAGGACAAAACACACATTTATCTTTTGTTACCTTTTCACCTCTAAAAAGAGATTAAATTCTTGCAAGTTAGAATGAATGAACGCACATTCCTGTTTTGATGGATTTTTATGTATTCTTAAGCGTTGTACATAATAAGCAACTTTTCAAAGATTTCAGGAGCACAAAACATGTTTGTGCCTTTCTAAATTAACATTTAGGAGCAAATCAGGTTTTATAATTTATTTGAAGCATTTATATTTTGACCACAAAGACAGCAACCAAAACATGAGACACATAAATTGAAGAACGATATTAACTAAAATATTACATATATTATTTACTAAAAATACCACAGTTTCAAGCTATAGATCAATAAGAGCCTTGATTTCATTAATTTTGGTTTGTTTTACTTCACTTGCTGAAGGCTTTTTGGTAGCAAAGGCTCCTGCTGCAAGTTCCCTCTTCTTATTCTGAATTTTCAGCATATTTTCTTCCACTGAATCCTTCACAATGAACTGAAATACAAAAAAAGCCCCACTGAAATGGATTTATTTTCTTTTAAATTAAGTTGAAGATGAGAGATTTAGGTACTTTGGAAAAAAAGATTAAAAAGCTAAGTATCCTGAAGCACAGTTACATTATTTCATTATTTGTAAAGGAAACAAAAGAGGCAAGGGTTATAAAGCAGTTGGAGGAAAAGGTTCGGTGCCTTTTTTTTTTTTTTTTTTTTTAACAACACTTACAGGAAGGCTATCTATCTCTTTGCTCCACATATTAGAAGAGAATCTGTCTTCAATTTCCCAAGTAATATTTTTGTGACTGGGTATTAACAAGACAGACCAGCTGCTCTTACGCCACTGAACAAGCTGCTACGACAAAAGCAAAAGCATTCCGCATACCCTCAAGATAATAAACTGTAATAGCCAGACTACGCAACAGCAACATCTTAGTCACTCAAAATAGCTCAACGCAGACATTTAATTTCTAAAATTATTATTTCACAGGAAATAGGTTGCATTTATAAAATCTTATAATCCAAAGCCCACACTTCAAAAATCACACCACAATTTAAGTTTACTGGTGAGATATATGATGTTAAAATTATTTTTAAAATATAGTACAGCTTTTTTGAAAACAATTTATTTATTCATAACCAGAAAACTGTTCAAACAGATCATGTCTCAACTCACCTTAGTAATAACAACATTATGCTTCTGACCCAGCCTGTGACACCTGTCAAAACACTGGTCTTCTGCAGCGGGATTCCAAGCCTATCAGTAGCAGCAATGAACAAGTTAAATAACCTCCTTCAAAGTACATCATAAGATACACATGGAATCACAAAGAAGTTATTGTACCATCAGCTCTTGAACAAATACTGCTTGCAAGTTAATTTCTCCCAACCTAATGTCTCACTCTGTCAGTATCCTGCTATAAAGAAAGCTTTGAGAACTTCTGGTTATATATTCGTAACAACAAGCGGGAACTTTAGGCAAATGCTTTAAAAACCAAGTCTGTCAGTACTCTAGAAGACATTAAAACAATCTTGTTATAATTTTAATTCTGAAATAAACACTGCATATACTAACTGCCTCAGTACCCCTTTCCTGATAGCAAAATCTAAGCCAGCTGAACTAAGTCAGTCCCCTGACTGTTAAGAAAGCCCATGCATACTTCCATTAGTATATGCAATAATCACTGTTAGGTAAACAAGAAACTCTCTGAACACAAAATGGTAGTGTAGCTGTTCCTACTTATGCTTAGAACACTAAATGTAAGTATTTGTGAAATGCCAAGTTTGTGCTCTGCATTTTTCCAGCATGTTTTTTTTCTATCTAAAGGTATAGTACTACTAGTTCTCACAGAATGTTTATTTAAATCTCCCTGAAATATAATAATGTTCCGTCTGGGATAAGCAAGTCTCGTGCAATGGGCTCACCTTGCTGTGTCACCCACATACTCATTATCTAGGAATTCTTCTTAATGACTCCTTTCTACGGAAGGGGGAAAAAACAGCACTAGGCTAGCACAAAAAATTCATTTGAGATTTTAAGAACCTCTGATGCCTAACACACTTAAGACATCAAGCTGCAAGACAAAAGCCAAACAAGTCTTGCTTCTCCAATCTAAGGTAGCAAGCAGAAGTGATGTATCTGTCACTGCAAGATGAACATTCCTGGCAAGCTATGTACAGCAAACCATTGTAAGACTCATCTGACTATACAAACAAGATGACGTCGAGGCAAGACCTAGCCCAAACATGCACAAGCATGTTCCACTCTATCTTTGCTGTAGTCGAGGGGGACCAAAGCGTACTACTCTTACTCTTCTTTCATCAGTCCAGCAAAGAAAACTGAATTGCAGTATTTCTAGGCCTTTCTGCAATATCTCATACGAAGGATACTATAATTTACATGGGTAAATACAAAGAAACTCGAGTCTCAGAGGAACATCTGTGTACTTGTGATACTCTCTCATTAAAGGTTTGTTTTTCTTCCTGAAGGTGAGAATTCAGCAGATATGATTCTATTTAAACAAACAAATTTAAAAAAAAAAGGGGGGGAGATGGGGAAGAAAGTAGTCTATGGTTGGATAAATGTCCCTCCCTTGCACTGTGGTGTAACACCTTTCAGAGAAAGTATGCAGACCTCTAAGCTACAGTTCTACAACAAATCCACAGAATTTGTGTAGAAAAACTGGTTACCTCACTGGCTCCAGAGGTGTTTCTGCTTCTTAAATCCTATTATTGCTGCTAATTCACTTCAAGGAATGCTAATGCATGACCGAATCTCATTCAGCGCTGAACATTCAAAAGTGAGATCTGCTGCCCCTTCATCAAATACAAGTAGTCAACCACTGCCACTTGGGATGGTTACCTGGTTACCAGCAGGAAGTTGTTCAATGGTGTATAAGGGCTGCAATTATATTTGGCTCTGGTTTGTGAGGTATAACTATGAACTGTGGATGACTCAGTGTTAACAATGCTTATCTTATATTCTTACAACTTTTTGCCCCAGGACAGTGTATGCATTATACCTCATTAATTATCTTCACAGAAAATGAAAATTCTCTTGGACTTGCCACAAGTTTTCTTATTCAGAGAATTGTTTAAAAAAAAAAAGGGGGAGGGGGGAAGCAGTTGGACTAGAGGGTGGTATAGGTCCCTTCGCACTGAACTATTCAATGCAACATATACAGAAACAATACTGTGAAAATGTGTCACAATTCATAAAAAACCTTTTTCCAAGGCAACTTCTCCACACTCACATTTAGTTTTTTTGTTTATTAAGTAAATAGCTTTTGTCTTCATGCTGTTATTATCACTAACCTGATTTCCAAGCTAGTACTTTTTCTTTACTATTGGTGTTACCAGATGCCCAAGTCCAAAACTACACTATTATTTTCATTTACTTTAGTTTTGTTTTCAAGTGCACAAACTGCAGAATTTGTCTCCGTTTCCAACTGCCAAAAAACCAGGACAGTAGAGTGGAGGAGTAAATAGTGGGAAAGGGAGGAAGTGAACAGAAAAACTTTGATTTTGTATAAAACAACAAGACATTAACCAATGCTATTAAGAATGCCAGTTTGCTATCAATAAATGTAATCTACATTTTTATTCCTTACAAACAATTATGCATTCCCATTTGCTTTAATGAAAGGAAAAAACCCTCTTAAATTTAGATCATCACCATCTTTCTCAGTCTTCTGAAACCACAAAAGTAACCTCAGACTAATGACTATTTATAAAAAAATTCACAGAAAAACCAAAAGAGGCTAGAGCAGAGAGGCACTGCATTGTAACACAGAAAAAAAATACTGTTCCTGAAATTCCACTTCATGGCTTTTGAAGTTATTAAATGGAACAAACAGAAAGCCACATTCAGAAGTATCAGAAAGAAAGAGGAAGAAATAAAGAAGGAACTGCTGTCAAACGCTACACCGTAAGGTGTCACACCACTACGTTAACGGTACTACTAGCAGTCTTTCCATTCACAGTAAATACATGGACAGCACAAAAATAGTTAAACCAAAAACATGCCAGGGAAACAAACGAAGAAAAGCCCTATTTACCCTTTAACAGACGCTTGTCATTCATTCTCAGAGGGGCTTTCCTTCTACCTCTTAGCAAAACATCAAAGGAGCTTCACCTAGATTAAGCCAGATCATTATGAACAACCCATTACTCACGGGATCCATTAAAAACACTCGGGAAGCTGCTGTCAGATTTAATCCAACTCCACCTGCTTTCAGAGACAAAAGCATTACAGTTGGGGATCCTGCTTGGCTGCTTTGGAAACACCGAATCACTTCTACTCTTTTCTTCTGTGCCATTGACCCATCCAAACGAGTAAAGGCAAACCCTGATTCTCTGAAGAGAAAGCAAAAATGTTCAATTTAACAATCCATTTTCTGTGACAGCAGGAAATAAATATATTAAAATCCTCACCTCTACTTTGAAATGCTTATTTACAATTCTGCATTTAACAGGTGATACATTAAAAATAATATGAATGAGATTCATGGCTTTATTCCACTAAACAAAGTAATTAAGTAATTTGTTCCTCTTCTGAATTTCTAAAAATCAAAAGGATACTATATTCTTTGAGAGATCTTTCTAAAACACCACAAAAGCATGTGTTTATTAAAAATGACAGTAGTTCTACTTACTTCAAGGGATTTTCTATCAGTGACAGGAAAGATGTGAACTGGGAAACAACAAGACATTTAGCAGTTGGATTATCCCTCCGTAGTTCTATCAAAGCATGCATAAGAGCATTTATCTGAAATAAAATGAAGATTTATACAGCTTATTCTGACCTGGTTAGATTCCACTCCTACGGGTGCTTTGATAAAGTTCACATCAATTGAGAAATCACCGTTCAGTAATACCTCTTAAACGAACTAATCTTAAATTCTGTGGGTAGGGTTTCTTTTAGTTTCCAAAGGAAACTAAGGTTGAACTCTCTTAAAGGACACAAACTACAGGGTGATTGATGGTGCTTCAGGGAAGAGGGTTCACAAACACATTCTCCAGTCACTGTCAGGAGTCAACAAGTCCCCTACCGCCAGGGCACATGGAAAAAAGGAACAGAGTACTGGAACTCTGAAAAGCAAGGCTTATGCAAGGGACAGCCACAAGGTGAGTGCCCTACTGTAGAGTAGCCACACTGTGAGTGCCTCTCAAGAAGCGAGAAAGGCTTCTCCCAGGAATATTCATTCAAGCTATGCAAGACCCTTGGTGAGGTATGACAGCAAATAAAGAGGCACCAGAAGCACTCTTGGGACCAACATGAGAACAAAAGGAGCAAGGAATTTGATTGGAAGCAGAACAACACTGCCAGTTTTCTCATGTAAAGTTTAGCTATGATGAGGTAAAGAACCACTAACTAGAGAAAGCAAGTGAATGCACCAGGTTAAAAAAAAAAAAAGAAAATCTTAATTTATTCTTGAGCACAACATCCTAAATTAGTTCTTAGTTCTCCACAGAAAGATTTTTAGGGAATAAATTTATAAACAACTTTTGAAAGAACAATAACTTCATTACAAATTAAAATTAAAAATGTAATGTTTCAGAAAAGCAAAGCAATCTCAAAACAGAAAGGTCAAAGTATAAGCAGGAAGATTTAATTTTTGGCAACGAATGCACAATGAAGGTGAGGAAAAAAACCCACATGGCAGACCTTAAAAAATGGGTCCGCAAAGTAAAATAAAAATATCTCACTTGTTTATCTGACAAGTGTTATATTGAACATATGATGTCCATTTAGCTTTTCCCTCTAGACCAGAATATATACTCTTTAGACAAGTTGTAAGAAAGGAGGATTTATTTAGATTTTTAGTTCCCGTAAGTATATCAGGAACTGAATAGTTTCAGTGGTTATAGAACTAACCTATCTTCAGAAACAGAAACAAAATGCAAAGCAACAGCTCTTTTACCAAATTATAATTAGTACACAGAATCACAGAATCGCAAGGGTTGGAAGGGACCTCGGGAGATCATCTAGTCCAACCCCCCTGCTAAAGCAGGCTCTCCTAGAGCATTCTACACAGGACTTCATCCAGGCGGGCTTTGAATATCTCCAGAGAAGGAGACTCCACACCCTCCCTGGGCAGCCTGTTCCAGTGCTCCGTCACCCTTAGAGTAAAGAAGTTCTTCCTCATATTCAACTGAAACCTCTTATGTTTCAGTTTGCACCCATTGCCCCTAGTCCTGTCGCTGGACACCACTGCAAACAGACTGCTTCCATCCTCATGACTTCCGCCCTTAAGATATTTGTATGTGTTGATAAGGTCCCCTCTCAGTCTTCTCTTCTTCAGGCTGAACGAGCCCAACTCTCTCAGCCTTTCCTCGTAGGGGAGGTGCTCCAGACCCTTTATCATCCTAGTTGCCCTCCTCTGGACTCTTTCTAGGAGTTCCTCATCTTTCTTGAACTGGGAAGCTCAGAACTGGACGCAGTACTCCAGGTGGGGTCTCACCAGGGCAGAGGAG